GATCTTCACTTTCTTCTTGGGCAGCCACCAGGCATGAGCAGCACTTCTCAGCTTTCCTTATCTGACATTCCTGTTGGCCCTGGCTGGAGGCAGAAAGGAGGCAGGGATAACTTCTGACAGTGGAGGAACCATGGAAATGGAGCCCTTCTTCTTCCCAGTGTACTTTGTGTCCTCCAGGGACTCCTGCAATGCCATGGGAAGCTGGGTGCAAGGCCAAGTTCTTGTGTATGCTTAATACATCATGCAGGGGACCTAAAATGGCAATTCTTGTGTCTAACCCACAGATGCTTCAGTTCTGACTTAAAAGAACTGTTTGTGCAGCCTATTTCCTGCTCTCTCATTCTTTTCCTTTCACTGACCCAAATTTTTATTGGGCTCTGCACCACTTCAGTGAAGTTTAAAATAAAATGCATTTTATTTTTGGATTGTGCTACTGGAGGAAGTTTAAAAGTCACTTTAAAAAGCATCATTTGCAGTTTCAGCATCATTACTCACCTTGATGAGATTTTTGGCTCTATATTTCATCCCTAGAGTGATCTATATGATGAAGGAAGTAAAAGGATAAATTATAATACTCTAGGAACTCAAGTACTTTGCCAAACACTGTTAATTTTTCTGCTACAGGTAAGCAGTTAATGCATTGCCTCTTAAGTCTTTAAGACAGTTACAGAACAGGAAACTTATAATTATAGGCAAGAAATGACCCTGTTGAACTCCTTATCCTTATTGCATTGCTTCTAGTGGGTTATATGCAATACTGCAGTGAAATATCAGTGGCTCCTCAGAAAGAAATGCATACTTTTCCATCAGCTGCATATACTTAGAGCACCATCTTCAGCTCTGTCATCTGTCAACACGGTGTTCATGCCAAAAAAAAAAAAAGGAGAAATTAAGTGGTGTTTCCAGCAATCCAGAAACCTTAGTAACCAGAGTCTCCTGTCTCATCCTGCTTTTTTGACCACAAAATGTTACTTTTTTGGAGAATATGACCTCTGACACAGCAAGGAGAAATGCTTCACTAGTGAGCAAATGTCTACTGAGATGCCAATGCCACTCCTCAGTTTTTCAGTATGGGCAAGAAGGGAGTGTGTTGGAAGTTCCTGAGGAGAAGATTTAGTGCCCAGAAAAAAGAGTCTCAGTCTTGGCTTTGTGGTGTTGGAGAAGGGAGGTTTTATGGCTGGAGATAGTCCTGCCTGTCCTCCCCAGTGGAAAGGCAGAGGAAGGCTAGGCCAGGCTTGTGTGTGTGCAGCACCTACTTCCACTCCATGCTAAAAATGTTTTTGTCCCTTCCTTTTGCCTGCAGCGGGTCCTGCCTTGTCCCTGCTGTTATCAGCACTGCCTCATGCTTGCTTTCCTTCTTTGCTTGGTTCAGATACTGCTCTCCTCTCTTAGCTCTGCTCTTCCCCCACTTCTCTGCTGGACGGCAACAGCTGAGGCCATAAAACTCCAGTCTCTGGGAGCAGAAAAAGGCACTGAGTTAAGAGCTGGTGATCACACGGGCTTACCAGTTACACCAAGAGTTACCTTTCAAAGACATTTGTGTTTTATGAACACAACTGTCTTGGGGTGAGCTAATAAAGCAGTGCAGAGGAAGCACTGTTTCATAGCTGTGGTGTCAGCAAAGCCTCTGGTAGGTGTGAGGGAGGAGCAGAACGTGAGTTTCTGGTGACAGTACTGTATTTGCAGGGTGCCCCGTGGCAGGAAGGAATGATGAATCTGACTCCATGTTCTCAGAAGGCTGATTTATTATTTTATGATACTATATTATATTAAAAAATATTATACTAAACTATACTAAAGAATACAGAAAGGATACTTACAGAAGGCTAGAAAGATAATAATGAAAACTCCTGACTCTTTCCAGAGCCCCGACAAAGCTTGGCCCCAATTGGCCAAAGAGTGAAAACAACTCACAGCAGAATGCAATGAAACAATCACCTGTGGGTAAACAATCTCCAAACACATTCCAGATGGGAGCAAAACACAGGAGAAGCAGATGAGATAAGAATTTGTTTTCCTTTTTCTCTGAGGCTTCTCAGCTTCCCAGGAGAAGAATCCTGGGTGAAGGGGTTTTTCAGAGAATGTGAATGCCAGAGCAGAGGAGAGCGTGTGTGGCTGCCGCTCCCTCCCTCAGTGACGTGCCCTCAGTGGAACGTGTCACTGACACTGCCCCGCTCCCTGAGAAGCCACTCGGAATTATTTTGAGAGAAAAGGAAAAGGAATACTTCTCTGTTAGTGAAATATCTCAGGCAAGTATAAACATTGGGTAAAGTAAGTGTTCAGCCTTGGTTTTAAGTATTTTTTTTTTTAGTGGGCCTCAAATCCTGAGGCGCATGCGCACCAAGCTGTTCAAGCCTCATGGTAGCACCTTGTGCTGTGTTTCATGGTTGTTCCCTGCCTTTCCTGTGGAACTTTTGGATCTGTTGGTCCTTTTTGGACCGACCTAAACCCTTTGTGTGCTCTGCATTCCCAAAGGCAGCAGGGTGAGAGGAATGCCGGGGCTGGCAAAGGCAGGCTCCCTCCTGCTGACACGCAGCTCCTGGGGCTGTGCTCATTAACCAGCGAGGCCTCCAAGCTGGGAAGGTGCACCGTGTCCTGGGCTCCTTCTGAGGCAATGGGAGCTCATGCTACTCAGCTGCTTGAGAAATTAGATCTTCTGAAAGGTGGGGCATGTAAAACGTTTGTGCTTTTACCTCACAAAGCTCTGTAGGAGAGGGCATGAAACGTACTATAAATGAAGTATTCAGAGGGGAAAACAAAAATTTCCTGACTTGTTCTTGGCACCAAACATTTAATCATGACATTTGGTCTTAAAAAATGTACAACTCTCAACATTGCCAATTCATTTTACCCACAAACCCACAACAGACTGATGATGTGCATACAAAGGTTATTTATTTTGAGCACAGACAGGGAATGTGAGTATTCCAAATGCTTCCTTATATCTCCCTGTGGGATCTCTTTAATAAGTTGCATAATATTTTTCTGTATTAGAGGATGGTAAGACAGACATGGTGGGGCTCTTCTTTACTTAAATACACTGGTTATGTTTTCTTTTTTCTTCTTTGAAGGAAATGCAAGCAGAGAATGAATAGTTTGTGAACAGTGTTAGACTGAGAAGCGTGACTTCAAAGGCCTTTCTAACAATTTATTCTGAAAGTATCAGCCAACAGATGACGTTCCAAGTAAAATAACTAATTATGTGGGAAGTTAGGCAAGCATTGATTTAGTTTTTGGTTTCTTGGACTGGCAGATAATTCTTTAATAGCAAGAAAAAGAATACATGACTTAAATTTCTGAACCTGAGTCCAGGTAAACCTTCTTCTGAGGACAAGTTTATACATAACCTGTAACAATATTCTTGGAAAATGTGAAAGCCACTTGGATACTTTCTGTGGACCTTGGCTGACTCTAAGATGCTCCCCATTAGAGATGAAGAACAAGGTTAAAGAAGGATAAGGGAGTGCCGCAATGAAAGTATTTTAATTCTTTGAAACTTGTGTTAATTTAGAATAGCATTGCTCTTGCAGAATGTAAGGGTATTTATCTGGAATATCAGGCACAGTTTGACAGTAATCATGTTACTAGGAAAAGCCAGTGGGGCTTAGCAGGCCAAACATTACTTTATATCGTCAGCACATGACAAGGTAAGACTCCAAACACATAACTTCAGCATGGAACATGTGAAGACGTGGAGATAAAATTCCTTTCTATGTGCTAGAGCACCAAACCCTTTCTCATTTTGGCAAGAGTATTAGGGAAAGGGGGGCTCTCTGTGATTACTTGTTTTCGGGTTCCTTTAGTTCTGGTGTAACTTGTGATGATGTTTCTGCTTAGCCTGTTTTCTACATTTGCTTGTGGCAAATGATTGTGCCAATTCTAAATTGCTCTGGGTAAGCTGTACCCTTGGCCCTAACTTGTGCAACAGAAAAAAAAAAAAAAAAAAAAAATCCATCAAACCATGTTGACTTTTGGCTGCAGGTTTCCATGAATTCTTAAGACCAAAATATCACTTGCTGTTACATAAATTCTGCTTGGGGAAAAAATCTGGACTTTTGGGGTTTGTACATCAGTTATCTAGGACTGAACAACAGCAACAAAAAATTAAATCCTCAAGCTCTCAGTGAAGCTGGTTCTTGTTGTAGCAGTAGGCTTGAGCTAGCAGGGCTTTTCTAACAGTCTTTGTGAGTATAAGTCATGACAGCACAAATATGGGATGTTTGTTTGTGACACTTGGGTATCGCTACTAACTTTTTGTGCCTGCTTGTACAGTGTAAGAGCCTGAATGAGGGATGTGGGACTCCAGGAGCTCTCTAAAATGCAGTTTATTCCATCCAAGAGGTCACAGCAGCCCAGGGTCATGGGTGACAGAGCTGTGCCTACAGCTGGCAGCTCCAGCTGTAGGCACAATCAATCTATCTATCAATCTAAATTCAATTGTAGAACCAATCTATACCTTAACTATTACCTATAGCCTATCATAACTACTATAATTACCATATTCATGTCACTGTTCTCCAATCAGTCAAAGTCAGTACAGTCCAGTTTAAGCTAGAAGTTGTTTTTCAGTTTTCTTGCAGTGGAAAATTCTGAGACCTTTTTTTACTTGAAACTTTGCTGACTTGTTTGCCTGTGCTCTCTTTCTGCTTGGTAAAAACATCATCTTGTTTGGGGTGGGTTTATCCTTTGCTCTAAGCCATAAAAACCCCTTCTAACTCACACACCCTTTGCCTCCTTGGTTATCCAGTGAGACTGGCTCAGCAATTCTTCTCTTCTATATCAAAACTTGCTTCCATCTCTATTCCTTCATCAGACTCTACATTCAAAAATCTTTCTGCTAAGCATCCATATCTGTGAGACTTCCTTGTCAAACTTTCATCCTTCCCAACAGGCTGGTCATTGTATGCTGGGGTTTTATGTTCATATTGTATGTGCAGTTTGTGGATTTAATTTTATCATGCAGAACCTGCTTTAATATGACCTGTGTTTGTCTTTTCTAGGAATAACATGTGTGGAAGTACTTGCTATTGTTGATCACCTGTACCCCAGCACGAGAGCTCCAGCTTAATCATTCTCTGCTCTCAGAACATGGAGGAAAATGATGATGAAAAATACAATCAAGCTGGCCAGATATTTGAAAACTTTGTACAAGCATCAACATGCAAAGGCACCATTCAGGCCTTCAATATTCTCACTCGCCAACTTGACTTAGATCCTTTGGACAACAGAAACTTTTACACCAAACTAAAATCAAGAGTTACCACATGGAAGGCCAAAGCTTTGTGGAACAAGCTTGATAAGAGAGCAAGTCACAAAGAGTATAAACGCGGGAAGTCTTGTATGAACACTAAGGTAAGTAGAATTCAGTTTTGGATTTCATAGCTTGGGAACTTTTAAACTTGTATTTCTGCAGAAGCAAGGTTTCTACGATCACTTACAGTGTGTCTGTTCAGTAACCCTTCCTTTAATATGCTGAAACTGGTTATTGACTGTTTTAGACAAATTTTAAAGTGTTTTTCTTCTGAAAGTTCTGTGGAAACTCACAATATATAAGAGTGAGCCTTAAAGCATCCTTTTACAGTCTGTCTCAGACTTTGTCCTTTTTACACCTCATCACCAAATGGGTGTAAGATGCAAACTTCTGAAGAAATAGGCTGCATTCATGACAGACTCTCAAGAACTACTTGCTTAATTAAGCAGGGGTTTGCAAGGTACAAACTGTAACATATTCAGGCTCCTCAGCTGTGTGTATGCTGTAAGAGACCAGGGCTGGCCAAATGTGTTTCAGCAGCAGCTCCTAAGCTGCTCTCTGAAGGTGCTGCTTGGAGGTCTGGGGATCTGTCTCTGTCACCTGGCATTGGCTCCAGCTGCTGTACAACAGCAAAATACAGTCCTGCTCTATTTATGGGTTGAAGTCCTTTCCTGGTAGTGTTTTTTCACCAGCAGAATGTGGGTAATTGCTCTGTGGTAGTCACTGAGAGAGATGGTCTGCTTGGTTGTGGAGAGGACAGGAAATGATCTTTTCACAGAGCATGCATTACATATTTTGATAGAGTGCACCGACGAGCACTCTAAATCTTGCTGACAAAACTGTAGAAAATACTCCTGCCAGTTGTTTCATCTGGCTATCACAGAATAATTCTACTAGCTTTGTCTCAAGAGCAATTCATTCATTTACTGCCAAGTGATGGCTCAGTGTTGTCCCAAGAAGGGTGACTTTTAAGAAGCTACTTGGCTATATAGAGGTAGAACAGGGAGGAGGAACATACTGGGGTATAACATATATAGACACCAAAATGTGAAGGGCTTTTTAATTAAAGGGCTTTTTAATTAAAACTATCACTGAAGTGACTCAGTAGATAGGTAGTGTTGAAAGTCTCTTTCTTCTGGTTTGCATCATTGACTGAAACTTCTCAAATGCATGAGAAGAACACCAAGTTACCTTCAGTACATAGAGAGTCCTCTGGTTTTATTCACTTTTCATAACCTCTCAATGATTATTGATGTTTTTTAAGGTCATAAGGGTCCTTAATATAGTTTTATATAGTAAAGGAGTGTCATCACAGCTATTTAGACTGTGTTCCTGGCAGGCTCTGGTTTTCTCCTCTCCTTTTTCCCTTCATTTCCCTTTTTGACCTGTGCTTCCTTCCTCCCTTTTTGTTCTTTGGAAAAGTCCTTGAACATATGTCATGGAGCATCTTTGTGATGAAAACAGACAGGAAATGGAAGGAATGAGAAAGTGTCTGATGATTAACAAATTTTAGGAAATATTCCACATGCACCTCACCATACACATACAGCCCCAGGTCCAAATTTCTGTGGTGGGAAGTTTGGGGAAGTGTTTGCAACACAAAAAAGCAGTTTTAAGACCCATGTGAAATGTAAAAACTAAGTCTTCTCTCAAATGGCGACCTTACAAAGCCAAGGCTTTGTTCTGTAAACTTCCTAAGCAAAGTGATTAATATTTATTTTGTGAGAAGATTCTGTGGAAATGGGTTGGTGCATAAAATATATAGGCTGTGTAATGCTTTACAATGTTGCCAAGGAGGAAGCTAATCAACACCTTCCACGGTGTTTGAAGTATGGTATTACTGCCCCTTGAGATGAAAGATTTATTTTGAGTGGCATGGTGTAAGCATTTGCAGAAATTAATGGACACTTCTGTGATGCACATGCGACCAACGTGCAAATGGCTGTAGAATGTCTGCATGTCAAGAGTGTGGGTCCAGATATTCCGTGAAATACTTGGAGATGTTCACCATGAGCCTGGCCCGTGCCCAGAGCTGCACTTCAGCATGTCATCGCTGATTCAACGGGAGAAACATGAATCTTCACATTGCTGGCAATGAGACCAGCAGCCCCAGTGGGGATATCTACCAAACATTCCTGGGCTGTGAATCACGGGCTGCTGCAGAGCCTATCTGTGCCTGGCCCTGCAGGAGGGGAGGCTGCTGTGCTGGGAGAGGAGCGTGGACCCCAGCCACTGAGATGGTGGTGGGCTCTGACAGCTCCACTCACAGATAAGGGGTTCTCAGAAATGCTGGCAGCCCAGGCAGTGCAGAGAGCTTAGGCTGCAGCATGCACAGCACCCTTACCTGCAGTGTAACTGGTGATTTTAGCTTTGTGTCTTATTCTGTGCTGTTTGCAGGGGTGGAACAGGAGCTCACAGCTGCATCCTGGCAGCCGTGCCCAGCGCTCACCTCCATGGGGCTGCTCGAGGCACATCTGTCTGCCCCAAGTGAAAACCCTGCTTTAACAAGCACCATCACAACTAGAGCAATGAGCCAAGTGGATTCTTGCAGTTGCAGCTCTGGAAACAGAGCCAAGGTTGCTAGTAGGCATCACTTAAAAAAAAAAATACATGACTTCAAGGCTTTAAATAAGGTTGTGGCCTTGAATGCTGTAGATGAGCCTGCAGCTCATGGTTCTTAGATATGGCCTTGCAATTTTCCCAATCTTTGAAGGAGATAGAGAAGATGCAGTTGGGTTCTAAATGACTCATAATGACTCATAGGAGGCTTGTTGGGGTTCTTTTGTTTGGTTTTGGGTGTTTCTTGTTTGTTTGCTTGTTTGTTTTTTGGGTTTTTTTGTTTTGTTTTGTTTTTTGGGGTTTTTTTTAAACAGAATGAAAATCTACTGCCTCATCCCAAAACTGCTGGGTTTTGGTTTTTTTTTTTTTTTTTTACATGGTATTTAGGAGCTGAATGCTGTACTTGTTGATTTTTGTGCTTGTAAACTCTTAAACCACACTTGAGTTACTCATTGCAATATACACAAGTTTTGTACATACAGAATGTTCCACTCCAGCTAAATAACAATAATCCTGTGTCTTAACTGCTCTTGAAGAACACTGCCAAATATGGCTTTCAAAGTTTCTACAATGATACAGTTTTAAGCTGGATGAATAAAACTGGTTGACGAATTTCAATAAGTTCATGCCACTGCTATTTCAGAGTTGTCTTATTGGGAGCATTATTTTCCCTGAATTCTTTGTAGGAAAAAAGCAAAACAACCTGCCCCAAAATAAAGCCAGAGTGCTGTAGAAAGACATGAACAGAACTGGGGCAGAAATGAATTTTCTGAAACTGTAGGAGTCCGCCTGTGTGAGTGTTAAATCTTCACAAAACATAAACTTCCTTCAGTCTTGAACTTCTAAGCTGGGAATGAGTCCTGTTCAAAATTTGTTTCTGGAGCTGGCACCTGCCTAGTTCACCAGCATTAGAGAGAAACAAAAGTTTGTACTAACCAGGCAAAACTGTAGATACCACACTGTGATTTCTTGCAAATATGTGCAGAAAAAGCACAATTTTTTTATGCTGACAAAATTTCTCTCTGGTTTTCATCTTCTACTAAATAATGCAGAGGAGCATGGCTGGACTCTGAAGTGATTATTTGTTTCTTTGGGGGATGAAGCTGAACAATCAAAGAACATGAAAGGTTTAATGCATGTTGTTCCCTATGTTAGCAGTTTGAATATCAGTCTAAATTTTTGAACATGCAAAACATCATGCAATAATGAACAAGAATATATCTAGCTAGTGTTAGTATATTCATTAGCCTTTTTAAGACATCTGTGAATGTTGCCTCGCCGTATGGAGCAGATTCATTACTTGCACTTGATTTACATTTACTTTCAGTTTACCTGTGTAAATGATAGGAATATGTGCAGGCACATGTAAATGAGGCTCCCACTGATGTTTGAGCTGGGTGTGAATATGTATCGTGGGTAGCACCTGGCTCATGCTGTGCACCCGAAATTCAGGCTCTCCCATGCTTCAGGGGAGCAGAAATTTCTGCACATGGAAACATCCCAGGCTTACTCTGAGAGGGAGTGTTGGTTCTCTGAAGCATGCAAATGTGGTGTTGCCTTCCCTTTCAAAGATGTATGCTGTTTTTGCAAAGTACATGCTTACACTTGAGAACTAAGAGAACTTTGCTTGAAGTGCTACTGTGTAGTTATCAGCTGCCGTGGTAGACTCTGGCATTTCTCTCTGGGTATTTGAGTTTTGGGACAAAGCTCCAGTTGAGGAGGGACAAATGCCTGGGTGCAGCTTTGGTCCTCTGAGCATTGTCTGTATTTTGGACCCTACCTTGGGTACAGTTCCTGGGCGGGAGACTTGTACAGTCTGAGCTGCTGTTTTGACGCTGAACAATATTAGCATAAAGCAAGGAAATAAAATTAAGCTAAGAAGTTTTGAAACCATACCTATGTGCATTTGCAGGTATGTGTGTATATGGAATCATATAAAACCCTAAAAAACAAATTCAATGATGTTGAAGTCTATCATAGAATCATTTAGGTTGGAAAAGGCCTCTAAGATTGAGTCCAGCTGGTTAACTCAGCACCACTAAACGTGGTCCTCAGATGCCTCTCTTTTACGCATTCCTGAACTCAGCCTTTCAAATCTTGTTTTACAATAGATGAGGTTTCCTTCCAAAAACTCCTGTTGGGAGACTTGTTGCAAGAGAATGACTCTAAAATTGTTTTTGACCATGTTTCCAGGACTTACATAAGGATGAAGTGGCTCTTCTTGGTACTGTCATGTGTGTCAGTCTGACCAGGACCCGGTGGCATCTGTGTCCCTGCTGCAGAGAGGGCTCCATGGTGGTGCTTTATCCAGCACAGCAGTACAGAGAGCCTGTGGTTTCAGGGGAGCTGGCCAGGGGGTGAGTCAGCAGAGGAGGAGCCCTGGGTCACAGCTGGGGTTGGAGGTTTTCTGACTGAGCCCGAGCCACGTCTCCCTGCTCTAACCATACTGGTGTACCTATGAGCAATAAAACAGGGCATGGTCTTTATCTGCGAACTCCTTCCACTCCTTTTCACACTGTCTCCATTTCTAAAGAATACCTTG